GATGGAAGCTTGGCGAGGATTCCGTGGTGCCAGACTCGATCGAATGCCTTGGAGATAAGTGCCACGGCTATTTGCACCATTTAATAAACTCAGATAACTGTTTTTTATATTGTTCTCCAGATTTTCTTGGTAATAATTGACATTCAGTTTTCTGACAACTTCCAGTATGTAAGTTCCCAATGTGAATTCCATAGGAGGAAGATACCATCTCTGAGTTGACTTGTTGCCCATTGAATGTGAAATTTACACTCGCAAAAATGTATTGTTCTGAAAAGTTGCAGTAAATTGAAATTGTATAGTGGGGAGGAAATTTTTTCGTCCCCACTGTATATTATTGATAGCTCTCATTTCACTACCTAAATCAAAAAGCCATTACAACTCCAAAAAAAAAAGTTATCGACGCCTCTGCCTGAAGTGCATAAAACAGTACATATATACACCACGGGATTAAAGTTATTTTTAATCATGAAGTGAAAAGTTTGTAGACCGACCGGAGGGCGTGCTACAATTTGCTGAGTTTATAATCCACCATTATAATTCAGCTTATAATCACTTATTCAAAGATATACAGCACTTGAACAATTAAAAGGCTGATATTGATATACTATTTTCTGTACTCCCGCCGTATCAAAACAGTTTCATTAAAATGCCATTGAATATTCAACAATCACATGCATGTAACCATGATAATATTTATTCAACATGCACATGCATTTTTTTGGCATACTGACTATTTTTCTTATATCGTTATCATTTTTCACAAACCAAAACGGACATTTTATTATACTTAGTAGATACTTATGAAAAATTCAAGCTTGAGTAGTCAAACTATTTCAAAAAACTCTCTGATAGCTCGTTGACAATCATTATTTATAATCAGCAACCGGTAAAAAGAAGGTATATAAGTATGCACATTGTATATTAAATACTTTTGGGGTATTGATTACTCAGAAAATGTCACACCTAAACATTGTCGACCAATTCAAAGCCTGTATTTTGTATCGTTACCTTAACAACTAAACAAATTTCCGGAATTATTAATTCCCTCCTCCTTGGGGAAAGAAGCATGAAATTACACTGGAGATTTTTTGACGTTCATAGGCAAAATGAAATTACATTTAATTTCAGATTATGAGTTGATGAGATCCTTGCAGGAGAATATATTTCTACCAACTCTAGCTGAATGAATTTTTGAAAAACTGAGAAAATGCGCTAATATCGACTTATTTTTTATAGTCGTTTAATTATTATTCCAGATTTTTCGGGATTTTCTCTCCTCGTTTCTATAAAATAAAATTAGGAATATTATCTCAATATACGTGTAGTAAGGACAAATCAGATGATTTGCCCCAAAATGTCAGTGCGTTAAAAGAATTTTTCTACTCACATAACTAAAATGGCATTTAGCGTACGGATATGTACCACGCTAAATGATCGATTAATCACGGATTATCGATCTGTGATTTATTCGAAATATTAAACACGTTACCATGGCAACACGATTTCTTAAACACATTACCATGGCAACGCAGTTCATTAAACACAGCTCCAGTAATTCTAGACATGTCTGGCCTGTCAATTGTATTAACTGTCAACTGTCATTTTCGAATCATGTATCAGAATTATTCAAACGATTTTCGTTTGTATCAGAATTCTTCATTCAAAATATATGCGAAATGTAGACGAAAGTGAAATAAAAGAGAATGTTTTGGTACTTGCATATCTCCAAAAAGTGTAAAAATGAAGCATCCATCTTTGAGAACAATTTATTTATTCTGCGCTAAGCATGACAATAAACGTGAAACAAAGGTTAGTAAGCAATGGACTGGACACATCTACAACCAATATCACTTATATTACGTGTCTCGCTGGTTGCATGCAGTTGCATGTATTATGTTCTCAATTCCCATTACTTTCGAATTATTTTGTAGGTTAGCAGGAATTGCAGGTATGTTAATGTAATTTTCGGAGTTCGTAGAAGAATCATAGTTAGTATGTAACGCGTTCATTAACTCTTCTAGACACTCGTTTATTAAACACTCGCTCCGCTCTGCTCCGCTCGTGCTTAAACTACTCGTTAATAAAAGGACGTTTATAACACTTGTTACATAATATACTATTTCCTATCACAGAGTTTTAAAAAAATCACTAGCTTGTTACAGACGATTTGTATTGAAAATAGTTTGGAGAAGAGAAATGAAGGTACCTTTATACATATAGAGAAAATATCGAATTTTCACCTAGCTTGGGACGTTTCGGTAACGAATCTGCTCCTGTTTTCAACACAAAAAATGAATATTTGTATAGCAAATTCATATTCGTCTTGACACTTCTCAGTTCTCAGTGACTATTGGTGACGTTGGCAATCAAATGAGTTACAGGATGTTTGCATTGATCAATCTTGAATTTACCATTTTTATTTTCAGATTTCAGCTATCTATATCATCATGCAATCAGTTTCCTTGATTTTCCTCTTCCTGTTCAGTTGATATAGATACAACATGGTAATCACTACTGAAATCTGAAAATGAAAATGGTAAACTCAAGATTAATTAATGAAAACATCCTGTAACTCATTTGATTGCCAAAGTCACCAATTGTCATAGAACTGAGAAGAAGAAGAAGACGAATACGAATCCGCTACACAATTATTTTTTATGTTGAAAACATCAGGAGCAGTTTCATTTCTGAAACGTCCAAAGCTAAATGAAAATTTGGTATTTTTTCCATATACGTTCATTTCTCTTCTCCAAACCTTTTTCAATACAAATTGTCACTGACAAGCTAGTGAATTTTCCTTTTCTGATATAGGAAAATTCTTCAAACGCAGTGACATTTTAGGGCAAATCATCTGATTTGTCCTTACTACGCGTATATTGAAATGATATTCATATTTTCATTTTATAGAAGAATCTGGTATAATGAATGTAAACCACCTCCTCGATGAACCTACAGACAGTTTAATTATATTTTCTCTAACCGCATAATACTACATGAGCAAATATAATTTATAAACTAAAATAGTACTTCAAGTTTCTTGTGAGAAAATATATTTCAAGCAACTTTAGTGAAACGAATTTGTGAAATACTGATATATAAGCTACTATCTCGAGTACTATCTCGACTCATTTCTAATCATTTTGTGTAACTAAAAAAAATTACATGTGTTTTATTTAACATTTACAACAATGTTATGGACGAGGTTATGGATGTGAATTTCATCAATACTATACTGCTTCGAGTTTCTTTAATAAAATATGTTTCCACCAAATTCAGTGGAATGAAGTTATAGTCAAGAAAAAGGTTTAAACAACCATCAACTGCCTTATTGATATTTTGCGTAACTGAAGTCAGTATCCTGAATTTTATTTAGCATAATCTTATTCTAGTATGTTTCGTATAATAATAATTCGGTGTGGAATTTTCTTACCTAATACAATTTTAGATTCAATTGAAAACCGGATTATTTTGTAACACGAATATTTAGATAACCCTCGTGCCCTTGTCTATGACTCGCAGCTCTCGTGGTTTAAGTGAGAATTTCATTCACAATATGATAACAGATTTTCCAGCCCTTGAAACCGCTGAAAATGTATCTAAATAAATATCCTACCAAGTAACATTTACGAGATTTTTTTAAAATTTCAATTAAAAAAGTAAAATATCAATGTGACTTCTATCCTCAGTACGCTGGCTTGATGGTCATTATTGTATATCCCACAATTTTTCACAATTGAATGACGATGTGGTTTCATACTTATGCTATCTCATAAAACAGATTTTTCAATACCAAAATCCATTTGTAGCTGTAATATATTAATAAATTATGAAACGGAAACTCATGAATAATATGATAATATAAATAATGGATTTCAATGTGAATATTTTATCGATAGATTTTTCAAGGTAAGCACTTCAACAATAATTATTTTGCCAGTTTTCTGATTCTTATGATGAACCGGACATCCAGTGGGTAGAACCTAAACGTTAAAAGATATGAATATCTGATCAAATTAGACAAAAAAGATATTCTTCTTCTTCTTCTTATTTATTATTCCGTTTTTCGAACTGTAAACATTTCAGCTGTTCCTGAAATATGCTGAGAAAAGTGAAAACCACCGATTTTGCTATTATTCATCATCTTAGTTGATATATAGGAGATTTATATTCGATATTTTTCGTGAGAAGGTGATTACTGGTTCTCCACATTCGAAAATATAGGGCAGTTCAGAAAGTGATAACTATAGCAAAAAATGTTTTTTACTGATTTTGTGGTGCTGTTTCTGTGATGATGTCAATACCTATTATGTTATATAGTTACATGGCTTCAAACATGGCTGATGTGATGAAAATTTTTAGCCCTACTCTATATATGGTATAAAAAACAAATATGCTGGCGCTATTGAAAAAAAAAAGAGTCGCATAGTAAATCTCTAGAACTAATGAAGATATAGAGTATTTCTGATAGTAGCAACTTCTTTGTCAGCATGGATAAATTCATGTTTACGCAAAATTTCAAATTTCTTCCCCCAATATCAACTGAGAAAATAAATGAAATTAAATGAAATCAGAATCAGTGTTTTTGCGTTTTTTCTAAATATTTCAAGAACAGTCGGATTTTTTCAGGTAATAAAACGGCATAATGAAAATAGACCTGGGTCGATAATTTTTTGAACCAAAAAAATGTATTGTGGAATGAAACCCATTGGAAGAGGAAGAGAATGTAACAAAGATGAAATATCAACTTTTCCATTTAATTTTCTTCCATAGTTCTGCCGGAAATCTGGATAATGCGTTTTTAGCCCTAAAAAAGCTCACTATATTTTTTATCCTGTTTTACCATTTTCAAAGGTTTCAGCACTGGTATAAAAGGCATAACGCACACAACTTTTGTCTGATTTGATTAATTTCCTTTCTCTAACCGTTTAGGAAATAGCAATACTATTACTGTCCCTATATGAAATCCTTCAGTATGATCATTCAAACATCAAAGCACTTACTTATTTTTCTGTTTCCACGGCACACTATTTATAATAAAACCCCAGCCATGCACCAGAACCAATTCACTACAAATGAGAAATTGAGAAATGAACGTTCTGCCGGCCAATGTACTTACCCTACTATTGATATTCTGTACGTTCGTCAGCTGTTTCCAGATCAAAGCAAGCCACGCAAACCCTGCGCTAAAACGTGTCTTATCTAATCCGCGATAAGGTCGGGATTCCTTCATGACGTGACTCTTTCGTGCAACTCGATTTTCGACCAGCCGAATTATCTTTTTCTTTTTGTTGTTGGGACGTACGCCTATGTACTTATAGAATGGCGGAACAAAGCGATGTGGGATGTGACGATATAGGGTAAATGCACTGGTTCTCGACCAGTCAACCGAAATATCAACTTTAAAAGAGTCAACCCTTTACTTGGGAAACTTTTATCTCACACACGAAATAGTTATTTATGTACCAAGGAGGGAACACTGTCTATTATAGCCGTAGCCGATGCTAGCAATCAGACGAGACAATAGACAGTTTTTCGCCGAGATGCATATCACATTTTTCGTCGACCCCAAACACTTATATTAACACCATACGGTCCTATTCACACGTGAAATCTATCGGATTTCGTGAACAATTAATTTGACTGCAAACTGCAAATAATGACAGTTGTTGTCAATCCACTCTCTGCGCGGACCAGGGTTGCCAATTGGGTAGATGTGAGGACCTCATCATACCTAATTAATGAAGCCTCTTTGTGAATAAAATGAAAATAATCAACGAACTCTTCAAATATTTACATCAATTGAGCGGTCATTGAAATCATCTGATTATAACTAGGTTGGCCGTCTTTGGTTGAATCTTTTGATATATTATATCTACCTGTAAATTGAAGAAAAAACATTTCTTGAGCAAAAGAATTCGCCTGAACAAATTAATGAATCGAACTGGCTTATTGTGTGAACATTTGTTCTTTATCCATTGATTTTCTGCTATTTAAATTATCAAGAATATCAATGTTAGTGATTTTTAATGATTACAATTACAAAATACTGAACGACAATGCCAAATATTCCGAAGGACAGAAATAATATTCCGAACGACAGGAATATGGGTGCGACACTGAACGACTGTGTCTAGCATCTGAACGACAAATACATAATTATATACCTCATTGTAACCAGTAAAATATCCACAATTAAATAATAAACGAATAAAATGAATGTGCATAGGTAAATTATTTTGCCCGTGAGTAGACTCATCAGATTCGTGTAACGATAATTCACAGCCACAAAAGTCACAATAACTATAAGTCAGTAAATCACTATAGGTATTAGGTAACCAATAATTTCAAGAGGAAGAGCAGATATCATTAAACATACTCGGCAAAGAACTATATGAAAATGGAATACAATTTCTCCCAAGATGCTGGGACACTCGATACCCATTTTATCTTAATGGTGTTAATCTTTGCGAGTTTTGTTTAAGTTATCGAAATAATCAGTTTCCCTTAGAATTAGGTACCCATGTAATTTTTATACTAGACGTTTCGTTCAAGAAAAAAATGAATTCTCATCTCACATAGATTTTAATAGTGTTGCTCAAGATCTATTTTAGGCTTCGGGAATTCCAAAAGGGATAAAGAAATGAACCTATGACGTCAAAACACTATGTACTTTTAGCAAACAAAAAAGTAACTTATTTCCAACAAAAAAAAAACGAAACAATCAATCAAATTACTAAATTTCAATTCAAAAGTACTCACAAATATATCACAAAATACAGTTAGTAAAATAGGAACTCAAGATTACATAAGTTTTGAGTGCATAAAAAACAGGAACGAATAGTAAAAAATGAACAACAAAAATACAAAAAGAATAAAATATATATAACAGAGGTAGGCATATATGAAATTGAATTTGATCTGAATCAGATAAAGTATTGTATGTTGATCAATTCACTTGACAAACTCAATGGTGAAGAATGTATATCGATATCTATCTTCGTTTCAGAGATACAGGGTGTTTTTCGAAAATATGATTTTTTGAAAAGTAGCTGAAACTCATTTTTTTGTCAAAAATACTTCGTTTCCATAAAAACGTTTCCAAAACATTGTTTTTGTCATGACAATTATTGATCCTCAGGCACTGAAATCAGTCACCATATACCTATAGTTTCAAAATATAATAGAACTTTACCTTCAAGAAGAACAAGTTATATTCTTGAACAAGATATAGGAATTCGAATTTCAGTGCCTTAGGAATAACTGTTATCACAAACTCAATGCTTCGCAGTTATTCTCATGAGAACATAAAATTTTTGCATAAAAAAATGTGTAGCAACTTTTCAAAAATGCTCCTTTTCGAAGAAAACCTTGTAACTCCGAAACGAAGACAGATATCGATGTATAACTTTCTCCATTGAGTTTTGCATGAAAATCGACCCTCAGGCACCGACATCAGTTCGCTTCTATCTAGTTGGAAAATAGGACTTTCTCCTTCAGAAGTGACAAATTTGGCCCACCCTGTAATTCTATTACCCATTTTGAGAAATTAATTCAAACAGAGCGTGCCGGCCTAACATGCAATTTAATATTAACTAAAGATTAATAATAATTCAGGTGATCATATTAATAGATAAGTGACGAAATATTTTTCAGTAGACTATGAAATGTTTCAGTAGATCAATAGATCGATATGCAATTCAGGGCATCTACTGAAAATTCAGTAGAACTGGCAACCCTGCAACGCACGAAAAGTGTGGATAAAGAGTAGTTAGTGTCTGCGGACGATAAGTACTTGCCTTTCGGAAATAGTCGGTTTTTCGTTCGGAAATTAGAACGTAAAATATTATTTTTCAGGCCGGCGGGAGTAGAAGTCAGTATCTCTGGTAACAAAAGAGGGACAGAAGCTGAAGCTGTCGGAAGAAATTTCACTAATAGTTTATTTCCACCACTGTCCAAATCCGACGGCACATCAGCAACAACATCGCAGGAGAAAGCAAATGTTTTTGCAGAGATGTCCGCAGCAAACTCTACTTCAGATTCCCAAAGAAAAGTGCCGCCAGACATTCCACCCGTTGAGAGTCGAATGCCCGAAATCGTCTTCCGTCAACGCACTATCAGACGAATTTTGCTTGGTCTCAAAACGAATAAGGCTAACGGTCCTGATGGAATTCCACCCATTATCCTCAAAAAATGTGCACCAGAATTAACACCGATTCTCTGCGAATTGTTTACCTTCTCGTACAGGTCGTGTATTTTTCCATCATGCTGGAAGACAGCAAGAGTCCAACCAATCCCCAAAAAAGGGAACAAGAACCTGCCCAACAACTACAGGCCCATTGCCCTGTTATCAGTAATCTCCAAAGTGATGGAGAAAGCCATCAATATTGAGCTTACCAAATATATATGGAGAGCTCACGACAATACGGCTTTCGCCACCGAAGATCTACTGGAGATCTACTTGCCTACGTCACCCATTTATGGCGAGCTTCATTAGAAAAACACGGGGAAGCCCTAGCTGTCGCGTTGGACATATCGAAAGCATTCGACCGTGTTTGGACGAAGGACTCCTCCACAAACTACCATCATACGGCTCACCACCTCAGCTATGCCATCTCTTTACGAGTTTTCTTTCAGGCAGATCGCTTCACGTGGTGGTGGACGGTGTATCGTCTGATACCATTGGCATCAATTCCGGCGTTCCACAAGGATCAATTTTGACACCAACATTATTCCTTCTTCATATCAATGATCTGTTGGGAGTAACAACTTGCCCCATCCACAGCTTTGCAGATGATAGTACCCTCCATACTGCATTCTCTTCCTGAATTCCCATTTCTTTCCCAGGAAACTAAGAACTCACGGCGCAGGCAGGTCAATGCTGTCAATGAAGACCTTGCCGAAATCACAGCCTGGGGAACCAACAACCTAGGAAAGTAGTTGTTTTCTATTGAATTAACTGAAAAAGAGGAAATATTCTCATCACATAGAGAATGCGAATTCTCAATGTATTGCTTTATATAAATATATATCCATTTTTGTATGTTCATAATTTATCTGAGAATATTCCTTTTCAACCTAGTTGAATTCAACGCCACCAAAACTCAAGCCTGTATTTTCTCTAGAAAGGCGGAACTCAGAGTGCCCGATATTGTAATGTCTGGCACCACCATCCCCACCAAGCCCACCATATCTATGCTCGGTATTTCCATCAGCAACACTCTTTTATGGGATGATGTTGGATTTGTTAGAAAATGATTTCAAATTTTTCTGGTTCCCACGAGAAGGGTTATCCTGTAATGTTCAGAAAACATCGTGAGAAACAAGGGATATAAGGTAGGAATTGGTGTTCTTAAATTTCCGGAGGTTATATGATTCGGGAACACCTCCCTTGGCAATGTTTTCCAGAGCCTCGCTGTTCGTTGGAAGAACGAGTCTTTGAAAAGACATGTTCTGCAGGTCTCCAAAGTGACCACGAAGGGGTGCGAAGCCTCAACCCGACGGGTTAATCTCGCGGGGACTGCCAAGGGGGGAACGGAGGAATAATTAATTGTTGATATTTCAGAAGAGCATCGTGAATGAATGTCTAAAACGGCCGTTCATAAAATGTTGTATGTATTTCGGGCGTAAATTGTGATCCATAAAAGCCTTGATATGATACATACATAACTATTATGCGCGAAATGCGCGACTTTATTTTGAATGGCACAAGGAATATTTTTCTTATTATCATTTTGTCTCAAATGCCGGAACTGTCAAGGACCAGTGCCGGTCGGTTAACCAAAATATCCAAGGAACAGTGATACAAGGCGACTTCAAAACTAGGAATGTAAAGTCTGATAATAGATGATCGGAAGTGAATATTTATTTATTTTCAATTTATTTATTTATTCATCTACCCAGATGTGAAGAAACGGTAATGAGTATATCGCCATAAAGTTACTATAACTAATGGTTTCAGATTCAATCTAAACCGCAAACGTATTTATTATACAGGGAGGCGGAGGTTCATTGTTCAGATGAATCAGTGAATATATTGGACAAGATTTGATGTTTTGAATTGGGACCCAGCTGGTATTCACCTAGGTAATATCCCGAGACCATGAAAAATAGCCGACTATTATT